ATCCAACTTGTTATTAAAGCCACTCCCAGGGCACCTGATTTGCATATCTAATACCATGGCTCTCGTTTTATACTCCAATGTCTCTTTCACTCTACCAGGGATAACTCAATACATCATACTCACACCTGAGCACACTCTCTAATCCCTCGGCTCCCATATGAGTATTAGTGGGCACTTTTTCATGTCCTGTATAAGATATAGGGTATAGTCTATGTCTCCTGGGGTCCCTCTTGCCTTCCAGCACTCTCTTACCCCATCTGCATCTGATCAGGGGAACTATATGACGAGGATGACTTCAACTTGCTTTCAATGTGTGTGTAAATACATTTATATGTTTCTGTATTTTTCTGTCTGTGCATTAAAAAGTCTGTTTCTGTCTCTATGAGTAACTCTCCTGCAGTGTACATCTGCTAAGAGGAATTTGTAAAACTAGCTTGAGAAAGATAGCTCAGTTGGTAAATGCTCTTACTGCTCTAACCGTTTGCATAACGGTTTGATTCCCGGTATAATTAATTTATTCTTCTAATGTCACTAAGATGAGTACCATTAACTTGGATAAAGGCAACATGCAATGTCTGTGTACAGAATTAAATCTACTACTGATAATATTGCTGCTTGAGAATCCCTGATTGCGTTCCTCATCTTTTTTGTAAGGATGCAGTTACAAGTACTTTTTTTATCTGAAGAAGGTTAGAACTCATTATGGGAAACATATACTTAACAATAAAGCAACTAATGTCTTGCAATTATTATTAATTATGGAACATCTTTGCATACACTAACATTTATGTAAAAGGTAAAAACCTTAAAGCTTAACATAACTTTAAACATTGCCATGCTTTTTGCCCTCAAAGTGATTACAACCAGATACATTTTACGTTCAGATAATTCCTTTGAAAATCATACTTTGGTCTCGAGGTCTGTTTTGTCATCTGAGAAACAATCTCCGATATTCTCAATGTTCCTTTTATATTTACTGCTAATCCTTGTACATACAAAATATAACTAGAATTAATAAACATAATCCTACCTGACACTTGGATGTTATGTTGTTCAGCTAATTAATTATGATAGCACTCTTTGGAACTATTACCTAAATTAATGAATAGAAAGTTCCATAAGGGACACAAAACAAAAAGATTAGCATAGTGCATTGTTCTAACATATTATTAGTATGCTGAAGTAATTCCTTATTTGATAATCTTCTACTTGGATTCATTAACACATCAATTTAAAACATTAAAATGAGCACTAATTTGGTATAGGTGACATCCTTGAGAAATCACCTAGTGGAAAAAAATATTTCTGGTTATTTAAATATTATATAACATGTATTTACTAGACTTTCTATAACATGTATTTGCTTGCTATAGACTTGTGCATGGCTGAAAAATTAGCTTTAACCGAAGCACTTCGAGAAAATGAAAAAAAAATTCTGGGCGGGCAGATTATGTGCTTGTGGTGGTTCAACTCGTCAGAATTTCTTCAGCCGAAAAAGATTCAGGAATATAAATCAGACAAACCAAAAGGGTGTGAAAATGAGCCATCCAGTGTACTACAAAATATACACCTAATAAAAATGCTCACGCCATTTGGTTCGCAAATCAAGTGAAAAAAGCAACAAAATCCATAATTAGACATTTGTATTTATTAAATAATAAATAAGTATAGATTTGTATACAGTTTCATCTATTGGAAGGGATCTCTTGATCTGTGAATAAAATCCACA